TGGTAAAGATACACCTCAAAACCTCTCTGAGGAATTTTCCAAGGAGACTTGACTTGACTTGGCTCCATGGTCTTGGCAACTGGTGTCCCTGAAGCATTCTGTCCATCTGAATGATGAGCTGTCAATACCTAGTCAATCAAACCTCTTGGTTAGCAGTAGGAAGTCAGAAAAGCATCAGGCAATCTAATTCTGATTGGGCCCATTTCACTGGTGGAAAAAACATGTTCTGGACTATAAATGCCAGGCGGTGTGGTACATGCAATGCTTTTGGTAACTTTTCATAAAATTCTTATTACAGGATACAAGCTTTGAGTTTAACGTGGTATTTCATTTGGTTGAAATTGCATTATTATATTTATATATTAATAACTGGCATTTTTGCCGGTTTTGCTTCCTCACTGATGATGTGGGCTACATTTTCTGACTTCTAAGATGTCTGTCATTCAATGTCCTTGAAGGTTTATACTGTGTGAGAAACCAGTGTAATTAACCTTTGGCTCAATTCACTGAGGCAAGGAATTGGCATGTAGTTGTTACTTTTAAACAGATTATTTATAGGTTTGAGAAACACCTCCAGAAGAGGAGGTGGCTGAAGCCAGTGGTGCTGGAGAGGGTATTTTAATGTCATAGATGGAGTCCGGCTGTAGTTAAATGCACATGGAGTTGTATTGAAAATGGCAGTGGTTGAATAAACCGTCTTCCACTTGGGACCTTCATTAGCCTATCATCATGGAAATAAGGTTGTGCCCTCCACTAAGAAACTGAGGACATTAATTCCTCACATCAGTTACAAGACAGGAACAAATATTTTTTTTCTTGGCGTAAAACCTGTCTAACCAATGTTAGTTTCAAGAACAGCTACCAGTAAGAGAAAAATGGGGAAAAAAAGCTTACAAAAAAAAAAAAGAAAGAAAAAGAAAAGAAAAGAAACAAAATGGGAAAAGAAAAAGGGAAACAAAACGAAACAAAAAACATCTTCCTGGCTTCTTGATTGAAACAGTGGAATATGCAAGCAGATTTTAAAAAATACATATTCATCTCCTTTCACTGTGAAGTGAAAATAGTCATGGTTATTGAAATTTTTGGAAAGTTTTGTAAATTACTTAGTGTGGAAGTCAATTAAGCAGATTTGTATTTGGCATTGCTGCTGTGGTCATTTTCAGGGTGAATCCTGTTCATTTGACAAATGTTGAAATGATGTTTTCTCTTAGAAATTGTAAAGGCACAGCCACACAAGGAGGCTTGCACCTTTCCATTAAAGCTTTCAAAGAATTTTGCAAACTCAGTAAAATTCAAATATCTGAATTGTTGGCGGCGAAAATAAAAAACAGAATTCCAAATCAGTACATCGTCGCGGGTTTTCTGTTGTTTGCTTCAAAAATTATCTTGTGACTTACGAGACAATATATTATGTTTGTGCTGTCCAATATCATGAGGAATTGGATTGGTAAGACTAAGTAAACATACAAAGGCAATGCCTAACCTCATAACTCCCACACTCCTTAACCTTTTATCACACCACTAAAGACAGAAAACAAATTGCAATTTCATTCTTTCCTCTCTTCAGTGTAATGCAGAATTTCAAAGAAAGAAGTGATCGCGGTGATTTTAAAGAAATAATACAACCAGCTACTTCTACTTCCTAATGGTTGAGGCTTTTCCCCCATCACTCGACGACAACCACCCTCCGGACACCCCCTGCGGGAGCCGTAGGAACCAGGACTCCGAGGTGAAGCGCCCACTGCGGAGGTCAGCGGTCTTTGGTCCGACTCGACACAAGGTGGCAGCACCGTCTCGCAGCTCAAACGAGTTTCCCGTGGTCCAGGGTGTGATTCGAGTCCCTCTGGTTCTTCCCTCTAAGGGCCCACATCACATCATGCACTGAGGGCTTCACAATTAATCTTTAAGTAGACAGACGGACTAACAGGCGCCCAAGTGTTAAAAATATATATTATTTAACAATTGACTAATATTTTTTAAAAACCGTGGACGTATTATTGTTCGGGTAGGCCAGTGCATCATGCACATGCGCACTCCGCCGCACCCACCTCCAGTGGCCGACCTAGCCTCCCAACCGCGACGCGCGGTTGCCCCACGTCACGTGACGGCCCCCTCCCGGCCCCCTGCCCGCACGTCCCACAGAAGATAGGTTCCATCGGCAATTTAATCAAAGCCAACAGTGAAACCATAAGCCACCGCCCCGCTCTTTATAATGTCGAGACGTTCTATTTCTTTCTCTCTTCGGTGTGGACCGGGAGTACTAGGTTGGCTATATTTTCCCTCAAATCTCTTTCTTAAATGTTTTTTTTTTTTAATTTTAAGTATTCCCCCCCATTCCTCTTTGAAATGGTTTCTTTCACCAGCCCTGCCGGTGAGGCTGGAACCATTCCGTACTTCTCGGTGGGGGGAGGCGCGGAAGTCGGGCGGCGGAAGAGGCAGGTGTCGGGCAGCCGCTTCAGGTTCCCCGCCAGAGTTCGGAGTTGCCGAGCTCGCGCGGTCTTCTCGGGTGTGCGGGCTGGGCGAGGCCCCGCTCGCTTCGCGGTGCACAGGGGCGCTCGGCCAGCCCGCGCCCCCCCCCCGCGCCGTGGGCGAATGGTACGTCCCGGCCGAGTCACGCGCCTTGGGCTCCGGGCCGCAGCAGCAGCAGCCGCGGCCCCGGGTGAGTGAGGCTTCCGGGACCCGAGCTGAGGTTCCCCCGCCGGACGGGAGGTGCGGGGGCTCGCGAGGCCAGGCGGGCGGCCCGGCGGGGCTGGGCGCCAGAGGGCCGACGGGCTCGAAGAGGGGGCGCAGGGCGGGTCTTGTGAGGGAGACGCTGTTAGCTGCGGGGCGGCCCGAGCGCCGGAGCCGGGCTCGGAGCTCTCCCGGCCGGTGGGAATTCGTCTCCGCCGCGGCCCCGGGGGTCGGTGCCCGTGCGGGAGCGCGTCCCGGAGCGGCCACCTGGCTTGTCCAGGTCGTTGGAACCCGGGCTGTCGGGCTGCTTCGTGGAGGTTGACGGGAGCCTGGCTTCCGGGAGGAGGGCTTAGGAAGGGACGGGTGGTGGCGGCGGGCGGGAGCCGCTGGGGGCGAGGAAGGGGAATGGGTTGGGCCCGAGGGCCTTGGAGAAGCCTGACAGCCTTCGGGGTATAGCTGTGCGGCACCAGTGCGCTTCGAGTTGGTGTGCGGTGTTGGTGATCGGGGAGGTTAGGGGCCAGCGTGGAAGGGGTGGCGAGAACCTGAGATGTGGCGGGGGGTGGGGGGGTGTCGCTGATCCGCGGACGGTAAAGGAATGAGGACCGTGACATGGGTTCAGACCCCGTCATCGTCGATGATTCTTTTCTCCTTTACTGTTGCCAGGACACTGCACTCTCGGCCTTCCCTCCCACCCAGGTTTTGCCTTACCCCTGGTTTAGGGAAGAGGGTGTGTGTCATGATTGTTTTTCTCCCAGGCTGGCATTCTGAGGCGGGCACTCTGATGAAGTGATGGGCCCAGATCGGTGCTCTCCAGAGTGGGTAGAAGACCACATTTCCCTCCTGTTTTCTGGGTATTGTTGGACGCAACCTTATCACCTGGAAAAAACATTTACCCAAAGATTGGCGCATTGTGGATTGAGGTGTTCCGGGTGATCAGCAGCAGCCGTTGGAGGCAGGGAACGAGGAAGGAGTTTGCTGAAAGGAGGTGCTGCTTCTCCAGCCCTCGGACACCTGGCACCACCCACGGTGTCCAGCCAGGGTCTGGAGGCATTGGATTATCAACGTTGTTATGAAGAGATTGAGAAATAGCGGCACGTGACCGTGTTTGCCCTTCTAGTGTCATCAGGGAGCTTTGTAAACAGAAATCCAGGTGAAGTTGGTAGAAATAATAGAGCCACCACGGTGTGAATGGGTTGAGTTGGAAGTCATCCCCTGTGGAACGTTTCACCTTGGACTTGCTGGGATCCAGCTGCTGACCTAATGAGACTCCCCCCTGCCCCCAAAGAAGACTAGGTAAAGAAGCTGCAGGGAATTCTGATGCTGGCTACTGGTTAAGAGCCATTATGATACTCTATTTGCAAAGTGCTCTTTGAGCCTCACACAGGAAGTGAGAGTGAAATAGACCCAGGGCCCGGCCAGCACCTCAGAAAAGGGCCCTACGCCTTTAGGTATTTGGATCTTGCTTCGAGTATAAAGTTGAAGTGATAGGGGGCAGATTTCTGCTTCTTCCTTGGATTCCGGAAAGCTTGTTGGAAGGAAGGAAAGAACTGTTAGGCATACTCAAGCCAGTTTATTTTCTTCGGTAAACATCTGGTACAGATTGGAAGTGGGAGTGAATAGAGAACTGACCTCCTGCTACTCAGAATTCTGATTGCACAAGTTGTGGTTAACCTGAGAGGTGCGGGTTGGCCTCTGTTTCTCAGCCTAGGGGTAGTTCTGAGTAAGATATTTGACATCACCTGGCAGGTAAAGGCTGGAGACAGGCTTTTTTCTGTGTGACTTTGGAGTTAAGTGGTACCTCCCTGTCTTCCACTAGTTGCCTGGGGCTGTGGTACTCCTGATCGGGACTGCTTTTCTTTAAACAAAACAAAACAAAAGAAAAAAACTATTAATAATTAAGTCTCCCATGTTGGCCACGGATGCCGGGAAGTAGCTTAGCAACATCACCTCTGGTCTATCCTTCCCATTCGAGGAGGAGAGAAACTTGAAGGCCTAAGGTCTGAAGGGTTAAATTGGCATGGTGTGGGTGCTGCCAAGACAGTCCTCTTGTAACCAGAGTAGAAAGGATGAGGACCTTATATTTGTAAGTGTTTCGTATTTTTAAAAGACGTAAACGTATTTATATTTAAAGAAATCCTTTATGAAATAACGCTGTAGGGGTGCGAAAGTTCAGCTCAAAGTTTGGCTGCAGCGCCAGCTTGCCATCAGCTACTGCTCAAAAGACAAGAGGCCTGCTAAGCCGTCCAGATGCTGCTTGATGGTTTTATGTGTGTCACCAAGTGCGTTGCTCTTAGAATCCGCTTTCTTTTTCCCCCCTCACCTAGAAAACGTCAGGCCTTAGACCTGCAGTATGGCCACCATTGCCCTGCCCGACTCATTTGGAAATGGCCTTGTGTGCTCTTGTCTAGGCGGGATGGTGCACATGTGATTTTGCCGAGTTTAAAGGTTCGGTGTGGATGCCCTACAGTAAATGGGGTGAACCTTAGCCAAGTGCTGCTTTCACGCGGATGTTTCGCTGGAAGGAGCCTTATTTCTCTTTTATGCCTCTCAAAGGAAGATGTGGCCTCTTTCTCCAGGGTTAAAGCCTCTGCCTTTGGGTCTCAATGCTTCTTCCTCTGGGATTCTTACTCCATTGTCAGTCACCTCATTCCTCTTCCACAACAGATGCTTAAACCATCATTTTCCTTGATCTCACCAGAGTGAGCCTGGTGGAACCTCTGTTTAAATTTGGTTTATTTGATAAAATCTTTAAAAATAAAATGACTTTGGCTTACTTGGGTCTCATGACGCTAGGCTCTCGGACTCCGGTGTCCCCCATGCTTGTGCTCTTGAACCTCTCCTGCCCGTAGACAGCCTCGATGAGCTCTCTGCTTTCTGCGGTACCAGCTCTCCTCTCCCCATGGGCACCTGCTAAATCCACTCATCTGTCCGGAACTTTAATGTGGCGCCTGCTGTGTGTGTCAGGAACTGTTGTAGCTAAGGCCCCCACCCCCACCTTAGGGAACATTCATACGGGGGAAACACAAACAGTGCAGTTTCCAGGAGAACTAAAATAAAGCAGAGGACGGGAGAGAGTGATGCGATGGAAGTGAGCAGCTGCTCTGGGGGGCTGGTTTGGGAGACCTGTCAACAGGGACAGGCAAGGAAGAAGTGAATGATGAGGATGGTGAGTCAAGCAGAGGTCTGTGGAGTGTCCCGGACCTTCATCCTCCGCCCAGCCCCTCTCTGCTTCTGTGGTCCAGAATCTCCATGGAACTCAGAGTTTTCCAGCTAAATGTCCTGCTGTCTCTTCGACTCTTTTCCGCTGCCCACCTCCCTCTAGGAAGGTCTTGGGCCCCAGCTCTCTCCCTACCTGCCGGGCACCCGCTGGTCCCCATCTCATCCCCATGCCTGACTCACATCAGCCCAGCTGACTTTGTCTTGAGTTGTCTGTTTTGTGTTGGCCTCTGCCATTCCCACTGTCACTTGAACGCCAACCCCTTCCTCAGGGACAAGGACAGGAGCGGTGGTAGTCGTGTCAGCTGAGAGGTTGTCTGCAAGATGCCGGGTGGGTGGCAGAGTTAGCGAGCAGGCTGGAGAAGGGAAGCTGCTGGGAGGACGCAGTGACGGACAGACCATGCAGGGTTTTGAGGATGCTGTCGCCCAGGACTCGCTCCCTGGCCCCCACGCGTGTTCACACTGGGTTCGGCTTCCTGGGCAGGTGCCTCTGACTGGTCAAGCCTTGGTCACACCCATGTGGGGGGATGAAGACGGAGAATATCATACCTTCTTTGGCTCCATAATGGGGGAGAGGGTCCCCAAAAGAGAAGGGTTGAATCCTGGCCACTGTCCACTACTCAGATTTACCATATTTTTCATCAGAACCTATCAGAGACTCTCCAATCTGAAGAAAGTCAGCCTTCACTGTGGCCTAGAAGGGTCCCTAAAATCCACCGCCTTCTGGTCTTCTGCCCTTGTCCCCCAACTCTGTAGACCCCTTGTCATGCCCCCTCCTTGGCCCCATGGCTCCCTTTCTCCCTTCAGCTCTCACTCAGAGAGCCCCAAATCACATCCCACCTCCTCCAGTGAGTCTCTGCCCCACACCTGCCATACTTTTCTTCCCAAAGCTGTCACCATAGGAGAGCAGTTTGTCCGTCCCCTCCTAGAAGGTAAGCTCTGTGAGGGCAGCAGCATATCACCCAGCACAGCAGCTGTTGATACAATAAATGAGTCTCCTCCAGACCCCTGTGGCCTTGATCTGTGTCGTATTTGCCACACGGTCCTTCGCACTCATGTTCTTCTCTGGGCTGACCACCTCCTAGCCCTGTCACAGCTCTGACTGAGGTGTTTTCCGTGTGATCCTTGAATTACACTCTCTCTCCTCCATTGCAACTCCTTGTAGGCAGGGACCCTGTTCTGTCTGCCGAGTTTTCCCCGCACCTGATGCCGGGCCGGCCAGTTGGCCGGCCGGCTGACTGGCTGGCTGGCTGCCTGGGTGACCTGCCTTGCTGGCTGGGAAGCCTGCTGATGCGCTCCAGAGCAGCAGGTGGGCTCTGTGGTGCCTGCAGAGGCTGGCCGGCTGATGGTGTTTCCTCTCCTCCCCCACGCAGGCCTCCTGCTGTCTCCAGGACACCATGAACGCCATTGTCGCTCTCTGTCACTTCTGTGAGCTCCACGGCCCCCGCACTCTCTTTTGCACAGAAGTTCTGCATGCCCCGCTTCCTCAAGGGGCTGGGAATGGGGACAGCCCCGGCCAGGGCGAACAGGCCGAGGAGGAGGAGGGTGGCATTCAGATGAGCAGTCGGATCCGCGCTCACAGTCCAGCGGAAGGGGCCAGCGCAGAGTCCAGCAGCCCGGGGCCCAAAAAGTCGGACATGTGCGAGGCAAGTGTCTCTCAGGGTGTTGGACACGTTTCTTTTTGGACTGGGTGGGCGGGAGACCCTGTTGGACTACGCAGTGGACGTGACCTCACAGGAAGGTGTGCAGACCATTCTTTATAGGCCCTGTGGAATGTGATCGCTTCTTTCTGTGTCCCTTTAGTTCTTTTCCTTGATCCCAGCTTTAGCTTTTTCCACCCACCCTGTGCCAACATTGACAGTTGACGCAGTTGACAGTAGACGTTTGCTTTTCAGGCCTTCCCTCTGCATGCTCGCATCTGCACCCTGGCCCATCCTTGGCTCCACTTCCCTCAGTCCAGTGTTGTGCAAGGTTTCCTCTTCCCGGGGGCCTGGCTCTTACTTTTGGTGTCGTTGTGTGAGCTCTAGGGAATGAAGTTTAAGTTCCCTCAACCGGCTGCTGCTTTGTGTGACAGACCCAGGTCGGGACCTGAAATCAGCAGTGGTGTGAGCCCTGCCACTGCAGGGTGAGCAGGAACCCAGCCGCAGTAGTTTGGGTGTGCTGAGAAGCAGACGGCAGGCACAAGACTGATCTTTTTCTGCTGGAAGCCCCTGTGGGGAGAGCCTTGCCGCTGGGAACAAGTCTGACAGCTGTGCAGGAGAGGAGGGAAGGAAAGGGTGCTGGACAGAGAGAGTCATTGAGCTGGCGTTGCCCCAGGGACGGGCTGGCCGCAGTACCGTCCTGTGCGGCCTCCAGGCGAGATAGCCCCTGGGATGCGAGGCCTCGGTGCTCGTGTGGTGGTGGCTCCTGAGGGGCAGCAGCCGGGCACCAGCCCGGTCCACTCCGAGCACAGGCTCTGAGCTTGTGTTCTCAGGGTGCCGCACCAGAAGGGAAGTCGGGCAGCCTCCTGAGGCCCCTGCCAAGTGGTTGTGTCAGGACCAAGGACAGAGGCTAGTCACACTCATGTGTGAGCCACTTTGCAACCCCGGGCCTCACTCAACCTTGCCTCCCGCAAAGTGAGGCTTCTCATTATAATTATCTCATAAGGTTGCACTGTGGGCTAAATGAGACAGTGCATGCAGAGCTCTTTGTAATACCTGCTACATAAGTGCTCAGCAGATTAGATCTCATATTCGTACTCTTTGATGATCTTTGTGATCTCCGTGTGCTGGTTTTCCTATTCGGGAAACATTGAGATCTTCAGAGAAGTGTAACTCCAGAAGCCTGTTATTTTTATAGGGAAATAGATTGGGTTTTCTCGTTCAGATGTGCGTAAGAAAGTTTGTTGCCTGCTTCCTGACTAATTGGCTTTCTTCTCCTTCTCCGTGGCAGGGCTGCCGGTCCCTTGCTGCCGGACATCCCGGGTATATCAGCCATGATAAAGAGACCTCGATTAAATATGTCAGTCACCAGCACCCCAACCACCCTCAGCTCTTCAGCATTGTCCGCCAGGCCTGTGTGCGGAGTCTGAGCTGTGAGGTGAGCATCGTGACCCTGGAGGGGACTCTGTGGGAATATCACACACACTCCCAGATGCCCCGAACAAGTTCACTACTGGTTACAGAAAGGAAGACAGAGGTCAGTCCTTCCATGAAGAGGACAGGGGGATCAGTGAGCAGGGAGCACGGAGCAGCCCCAGTTCTCTCGAACTCCAGAATAAGTTGGGTTGGACTCCAGTATTCTGAATGGTTGCTAGCTTATCATTTCAGGCACCAAACTTTTGTTATGTGTCCATTCTTGGTGAACATATTTCTAAGATGTTAACTCTTTCTAGGTTATGTGGTTCACCATGCCAAACATCACTTTTTTTATCGTCTCAGTCATTGTTGTAAGCCTTAATGGTTACCATGTGCTCTCACTTCCCAAAAGGTGAATCAGTTTGTTCCTAAACTACGTGGCTCCTATTGTGGAATTCAAGTCTTAGCTATTAGGTTTTTTGGTTTTCTGGTCTTTGGAGATTTATTTATTTATTTTAGAGAGAGAAAGTGCGTGCGTGTGCACACATGAGTGGGAGGGGAGAGGGAGAGAGAATCTCAAGCAGACTCCACGCTGAGCGCCAAGCCTGATGTGGGGCTCGATCTCACAACCCTGAGATCATGACCTGAGCTGAAACCAAGAGTTGCATGCCCAACCGACTGTGCCATGCAGGTGTTCTTAGTTCTTATGTCTTTATCTGTCACGAAGAATTCATAAGTCAGTTATAAAACTTGCCTTCTCTGTACCCAGTTGATGAGACACACTGAGCCCCCCCTCTCAGTTTTAACTTATGGTTGCAGTGTGCCTACCTTCAGCCGGTTCCCTCTGTTTGATTTCCTACTACTAATTTTGATCTCCTGCTGCTAATCTTTTTTTTTCTTTTTAAGATTTTTTAAAATTTATTTCCTGCTCCTGATCTGCTAAAAGCAGATGATTGTGCCTGATGGAATTGTGTGTAAAGTAAGAGTGAATGTGTCATGAGGGAGACCTAACATCTGTCCTGTAAACAAAGTGTGCAAATTTTATTGTATGGACCCTACAGGGACTGCTCTGACCTTCTCCAGTGTATTCCAAATGAGTGATGTTGGCAAATTTGAGTCTGGAATAGATACAGTATTTGAACAGGAGTTATTTATGGCTCGGGGTAGAAAAAAAGTCATGAACCTACTTGACTGGCCCTTAAAATCCATGGTAATAAATGTTACCTTTACAAAGTTTGATCCCAGAAGCAGATGAAAGCAGTTTTCCTCTCTTGTGCCCACCTTTCCGTCTCTTCCCATAATTAGTGCTAGTTAATTAGCACAGAAAGGTAAATTGGAGAAGGAGGATTTGACTGTGTCACCACAGTAGGCACAGTGTTGATTTTCGCAGGTCTGCCCTGGCCGGGAAGGCCCTATCTTCTTTGGGGACGAGCAGCATGGTTTCGTGTTCAGCCACACTTTCTTCATCAAAGACAGCCTGGCCAGGGGCTTCCAGCGCTGGTACAGCATCATCGCCATCATGATGGACCGGATTTACCTCATCAACTCCTGGCCCTTCCTGCTTGGGAAGATCCGAGGGATCATTGACGAACTGCAGGGCAAGGCCCTCAAGGTGACCCCACATACAGGGAGAGTGGGTGGCAGTCGGGGAGGAGCTTGGCGCTGACGGGGGTCAGAGCGCAGGTGGCTTTATTATCTCTAGGTCTTGCGGCCATTGCTCTGTCCGAATTGTGGTCTTCGACTTCAGAGTCGGCTGTGGCCGTCAGTCCTGCTTGCTTCCCGGGCCTCTCTTGAGTCCACTGTTGTCCCAGTGGTCATTCCGCTCGGCTTCTTTACCGCGCTCACATGCCCTAGTGTCTGTGCTCCCTCTGGCCTTCATTTGGAAGCCTGGCCGTGAATCGGGTCGTAGACCAGCACCAGCGTAGACCCCTAGCTATGGTGTCGCGCCTCAGAATGGGCCTGGTTGTGCTGTGGTGACAGGCAGCCCTCAAACCTCAGCGGCTTAAAGCCACACAATTTGGGGGGTTTTTGTTTTGTTTTGTTTGGGTTTTTTGTTTGTTTTTTATGTTTTGTTTTGGGTTTGGGGGGAGTTTTTTCGTTTTGTTTTGTTTTTTGTTTGGAGAGAGAGCGGGGTGGGAGCAGAGGGACGGGGAGAGAGAATCCCAAGCAGCCTCCATGCCCAGCGTGGAGCCCGACACAGGGCTTGATTCCATGACCCTGAGCTCGTGACCTGAGCCAAAAACCAAGAGCCCGATGCTCAACCGACTGAGCCACCTGGCGTCCCACAGTGTTTTGTTGTTGGTCGTGCTCTGGGTCCATTGCAGGGATGGGAGGATCTACTCATCGTAGTCAGCCTGGCAGCTGGAGCAACATCCGTGTCGGAATGTTGCCGATTTCCCTGCGAGAGGCCGTAGATGGTGCTGGAGGGCCTCGATCCTCTCTCACCTCCTGCCAGGACAGGGCACATGTCCCACCCGCACCAGGTCTCTCACTGAAAGCCTCTGTGCGCTGGGACGGGGGGCGGGAGCCTGGAAGGGTGTGAAGAACAGCAGGATGAGCACGCGAGCACGGACACCGCCTGAGTGCCCGTCAGTGCCTAATGAGTTGGCTGTGGGAGAGGGTACCCGAGAAATTCTTAACCGATTCCTCTTACTCAGGTGGCTTCTACTCAAGCTGTGAGGGCAGAAACCGTTCTGTTTGGGATGAGGAGACCGGTGGCACTTTTCTGTGGCCAGATTGGGACGCGTCTTCTGGAGTAGGACCCAGGAAGTTGGCTATGAATGAGCTGCCTCTGGGCTGCTCAGCTGCTTCTGTTTTGCTCAAAGGCTGCCCGTTCCCTTGGCATTTCAGGTATTTGAGACAGAGCAGTTTGGCTGCCCGCAGCGCGCCCAGAGGATGAACACGGCCTTCACACCCTTCCTGCATCAACGCAACGGCAATGCGGCTCGCTCGTTGACATCCTTGACAAGCGATGACAACTTGTGGGCATGCCTTCACACCTCCTTTGCTTGGTAACCACGTTTGCAGTCTTTCAGCGACTGTTAGAGTGAGAGCAGTCACGGTGTATTGGTTGGGTGCCACATGAATCTGGGGAAACCGTCGTTGGCTGACTTTCCCGGTGCCTCTGTGCCGTGTACTTGTTGGCAGGCGGTGACCTGCGTCCCCCTTTTGCTCTAGGCATCTTCCCCCGGGCATATGGAAAACAGACTGAGGGGGCCCTCACTTCCCCATATGTTTAAGATGATGCTCCCACGCCAAGAGCAGTGATCTCCCTTTTTTGTCTCCGACCACAGAGCTTTATGTCACACGGCTCTGTGGGTCAGGAATTTGGGAGTGGCTGGCCTGGACAGTTCTGGCTGGGCTGCTCAGGGTTTCATCAGTCAGGGCTGCAGCAGTCCGAGGTGTGCGGTCCTCTGGCACCAGGGTGCGGGCTGCTGGGGGCCCTTCCAGCACAGGCCGTCTATTAGGAGTGTGCTGGGGCGCTCAGACCTGCCTGGTCAGTAGGAAAGGATTGCCTCCATCTTCTGAGTATCACCACAGTCTGTCTTCTGGCCTCAGATTGTTTCTGTTCCTTTCATTGCAAGACGTACCTCTCCCAAAGACAGCCCCCAAATCCTCATCCTTGTAGAGCCGTGGCCTCAAGTCTGGGGCCTCGTTTCCTAAATCACGTCCGGGTGCAGAGGAGGTGCGCGCCTGGAACAAAGATCTTCGAGGGTAGCTCCCGAGGACCTGTGAACAACAGAGAAAGTCTCTGTTTCCTGTGGCCTACAGAAAATCATCTAGGAGAGATTTTCAGACAGACCCACTGTAGAATGAACAGTACACCCTCATCATCCAGCTGTCAACATTTTACTGCTTTTTCTGTCCTCTCCCTTTTTTCTGAAATATTTTTATTTATTTATTTATTTATTTATTTATTTATTTATTTATTTATTTGACAGACACAGACACGGCGAGAGAGGGAACACAAGCAGGGGGAGTCGGGGAGGAAGAAGCAGGCTTCCCGCGGAGCAGGGAGCCCGATGCGGGGCTCGATCCCAGGACCCTGGGACCATGACCTGAGCTGAAGGCAGACACTTAACCAACTGAGCCACCCAGGCGCCCCCTGAAATGTTTTTTTTAAAGCAGATCTTAGTTGTATCATTTCAAACATAAAACCATATCCAACAAAATTGACAAATTCCTTAGCATCATCCAGCCCGATCGTGTTCAGTTTTCCTGTTTTCTTGTTCAGGATTGATTTTTGAAATGGGATTAGATCACTGCACAGCATGCACCTTGTTCTGTTCTTAGTCTAGAGCAGTTTCTCCAATGCCTCTGCCACAGAATTTTCCATGCCTTTTGTTGGGGGACCTGGGTCATTTGTCCTGTAGAATACTCCTTTTGGATTTGGCTGATTGTGACTTTGTGGTGTGTGCAACATGATCTTCTATACCCATGTTTTCTGTGAACTAGTAGATCAAAAGGCTTGATAGGCTTCAGGTTCCATTTTCATTGTGGCAAGAAGACATCATAGGTGGTGCTTTGCTCTCCAGGCTCCTGAAGGCGTGTGGCAGCCGGCTGACTGAGAAGCTCCTGGAGGGCGCGCCCACTGAGGACACCTTGGTCCAGATGGAGAAGCTTGCAGGTGAGCTGGGAGTGCTTGTGCTGGACGCCTCTGCCTGCAGCGGCTGTTGGGGCCCATCTCACAGCCCCCCGGCCCTCCATCCTGTTGAAGGGGACCCTAGGATCAATAACCCAGGAGAAGCATCTGTAAGAGCTCGCCCTTTAGCCTTAGTGTTTTTACTGTGGTTTCCTGTCTCCTTTTTCTTGACAGTCACATGAAGGAATCTACCACCCTGGGCAGCCTGGGAAAGTCTGCTATTGAGGGCTGTTAGGCTGTAGGGAAGATGGACTGATGGAAGGTTTTCTTGTCCCTGTTGTATGATCCCCAGGTGCTTGCCCTCTCTAGACACTTGAACAATAAAATGTTAGGCTTCAGGTGGACCCAGGGTTTCCATCAAGGGTGGTTCCCAAGCCTTACCAATGTCTGGGTAGTCCTCCCCAGGTTTTTGATCAGAGCTCCACATCTGGGGCTCAGGATCCTGTGTTTTAAGTAACTTCCCAGGGCATTCTGCTGCGGCGTGTGCCAGCCCAGGAACCTCTGGTCTCAGTCCTGGCTGAGCTGCTCCTTCAGAGATGATTTGATTCTTGGTGATCTAGGTCAGCAGCCTCAGCTTTGGGGTTGGGTAAACCAGACTTGCGATGTATATTGTGTGCGGTGTATTAACGAAAAACACTTGATGTGCTTCAGGGTGCAGATAATTGGCCTTAATAAATTGGAGCTGTTTCAAGGTTATTCCTGTAGTCAGGTGACTTTGCACGCACTTGGATTCCAGCATGGTTTCCTGAGTGGGAGAGAGGGAGTAGAGTTTCAGCGAGGGCAGAATATGCTCCGAAAGACAAAACATTTGCGGTCCACCTTCACGCCCTCGCGGGTCAGCGGACCCTAGAACCATTTATTATTGTGATTTCAAATTTCTAGGCTAGTGAAGATGGCAAGGGTAGTCTGTTGGTGAGAGTATTTAGAGAGAGCTAAGTACATCAGAGCTTTAAGGAAAGAGACATGCAGGCATGCAGGGCTCTCTGTCATGTGTTAGACTGTATTTTAGTCCAGAGCACACACTTTGGATTTGGACAGACCTGGCTTCAGATCCTGGCTCTGCTCCTCTCGCACGTTCTGTGACGAGACAAGACCTCTTCCCTGTGGATCTCACTTGGATTATGGAGTGGAGACGGCCTTATTTGTGATGGTCGTCACAGAGATTAATGGAAATAACAAATATTTCTTTTTCTGTAAAATGGGGAGCGTAGTACTGACCTCAGGACGGTTGAAAGGAGGCAGTGAAATCATGTGTGGAAGCCTTTAGAATAGTGCCTGAGTGGGAAGTGGGAAGTGAACGAGCTACCCTCATTCTCGTCGTTGCTTTGAATTATCCCACGACCACGGACAGCTCATAGTCTCGTGGGTGCCTGCTTCATAGTGTAGTGTGAGGCTCTGAGCTAAGTAAATAAGTACACAGACTGAGCCCTCCCTGCTTCCTGCCGGGCTCCGAGGACAAGTGGTGCAGATACTGGCCCAAACCAGAAATCAGGAATACCTTGGGCTAAAGTGGACACCGCAGTGCTGTCGCCTCCGGGGAATGAAGGCATGTTTCATAAATGTCTTTGCTGTCCGTCTTGCAGACTTGGAAGAAGAGTCCGAAAGCTGGGACAACTCCGAGGCTGAAGAGGAGGAGAAAGGCCCTGTCCTGCCAGAGGGTACAGGGGGGCGGGAGCTGACCAAGTGCCCCACAGATTCTTCCTCGCTCTCGGACTGTGGCAACTGGCAGCCCCGAAAGTTGTCTGTCTTTAAGTCCCTTCGGCACATGAGGCAGGTAGGCGGCAGAGGGTAGACCCCCATTCAGAAACTGTGGAGAAGAGCCCAGCCCCCTCCCCCTCATCCAGCATACTTTGTCCTTTAGGCCCATGATGTTCAGACCCAGTGGGGATGGATTGGTTAGGAGTAACCAAAAAACCTCGATGGCTGGCCAAAGACAGCTGGGGCTGTGTGGGGTATCTCGGCCACAGGCACAGTGCTCCCCTTTTAGTGATGACATAGGTGTCTTTTTTTTTTTTTTTTTTTTAAGATTTTATTTATTTGCGAGAGAGAGAATGAGAGACAGCATGAGAGGGAGGAGGGTCAGAAGGAGAAGCAGACTCCCCGCTGAGCAGGGAGCCCGATGTCTGACTCGATCCCGGGACTCTAGGATCATGACCTGAGCCGAAGGCAGTTGCTTAACCAACGGAGCCACCCAGGCGCCCCATAGGTGTCTTTTATACAGAAAGCCCTGCATGGTTGGTTTCTCGTGGTCCTCTGATCTTGTCATGCTGGAACCTTTTAAAGGAAATGCGTTCGTGGCACTGTTGGTTTGTGTGCGGCCTTAGACGCTTTGCAAAGTGCAAATTCTGGCCCTTCTTGCAGAAAATTGGAAGGAATCTGGATGTCCAACCATAGGAATTGCACCCAAACAATGGAATGTCCTTAAATACAGAGAGGAGAGCATCCAACATATTGTACAGGGTGGTATGTGTGTTTATATACATGTGTGCTGGAGACAAGTCTCACACAACAGTGTCGACCATGGTTCTGTTTGGTTGGACAGGAAGAAGAGACGACAAGATTACAAGGGCAGTCCTTTTTTATGTTTTTCTGTGATTACGTTTACAATGAACATGAGTTTTAACAAAAGATAGTTATTTCTGTTTCGAAAAATGGAGTAAAGACTGATTTAATGGCAGATGCTCTGTGAGGCTTCTGAATGAGGAACATTCACCCACCAAAATCGTGTATTTGGCTAAAATCATCCTTGTCGGTTGCTTACGTGGATTAAAGTTAGAAGGAATCTTCAGTCCCAGGGGAGGTGGAGGTATTTTGAAGCTGTAGGAATTTTGCAAAACGTAATATTTCTAGCTTCCCCCTTTTTTTAAAAAAGCCATCTTATAAGTCGTAGGATGACAGACTGAACTCCCCAAAAACTCCAGTGTCAGAGAAGTTGTAAAGAGTCAGGTGGACAGAGGGACTGTTCTGGCATAAAATGGGGTAGACAGCAGAATAAATGAAATAGTCTTTGATCCTTAAGGGACGCCTGGATTAAAAGAAAACTGCTATCAAGGACATTGTTAGAGATTTGGGGCTGCGGATACTGGGTTGATGGCACATCTGTGTGGTGTTTCTAGGGGTGGTGTGTACTGGGGTTCTCTAGGAGAGCCCTTGTCCTTCCTGGTCCTGAAGTGTCATGCTGCCTGTCCCTTACTTTGAAGTGATTCGGCAAAATGGTATATATAGAGAGAGAAAGTGAATGTTGCAAATAGCTAACACATTTTCTGCTTCAAATTTGTTGTTTTTGTTTTTTTTTTAAGATTTTATTTATTTATTTGACAGAGAGAGAGAGAGAGAGAGACGGCTATAGAGGGAACACAAGCAGGGGGAGTGGGAGAGGGAGAAGCAGGTTCGTGGCCAAGCAGGGAGCCTGATGCGGGGCTCAATCCCAGGACGCTGGGATTGTGACCCAAGCCAAAGGCAGATGCTTAACGACTGAGCCACCCAGGCGCCCCTTCTGCTTCGAGTTTTTAAAAATAAAATTGGGGAAAAGATCTTACAGTGTGCCAGGGTTTTGGGATCGGGCTTCCAGGTGCTCATCCAAAGGCCTCCACCTGCCTCCTCCTGACCACGGGCAAGTCAGCCTGCCCTTCCCTCTCTTCGACCCATCTTCCTTCACTCTACAGAGAACACACAAATAATTTTGGTTGCACAAAAGAAAATTCAGGGCAGAAAGCACTGAATTGTATTTTTCAGGTCCTGGGTGCCCCGTCCTTTCGCATGTTGGCCTGGCACGTTCTCATGGGGAACCAAGTGATCTGGAAAAGTAGAGACGCAGACCTTGTCCAGTCAGCTTTTGAAGTTCTTCGGGTAAGAGTAGCTCTTCTTGTAAGTGTTTGCCTAGGTTTTTTGTTTTGTTTTGTTTTTTAAATCCGGACTGTGGGTGTTAATGTTAGGATTCAGGGATGGCTCGGTCCAAAGGTTCATGCCTGAATCTGAGATCTGTGCTTTTTCTCCACTGTTGAAAATGGCAGTCATCGATGGTTGTTATTTCCAGTGGAAGGAGTCTGTGCTATCTTGATAGAGTGATAACTAACTACCCTACCCCCACCCCCCGGATCCCTCTAAGAAGCCATTGGCATCGTTCATAGCTGCCTTAGAAGCAGATTTGAGTCATCACATGTCCCTGTGCACAGAACATTCCTGATGAGTCAGGTGAGCTGCGGGTCTACCATGCTGTCTGCACCTCAGAGGTGTAGTGGGTGCCAAGGCCCAGGTCTGGCTGATGATATTTAAGTCCTCAGAAACCTTGTTCATGCCTAATATCTGCCTAGGCCTGTGAGGGCACAAAATGAATATGACAGAGTCTCTCAAAAAGCTTATAATCTCTTTGTGGAGTGAGGGAAGAGAGACAAACATCTGAGAAGTCAAAGAATAATAGGAAGATTAATACCACAAAACAAGAGGTAGCACAAATCCTGTATGACTGATTGCTGGATTAGGAGTTGGGGCCATGCAGGAGACACCCCAGTGGGGCCAAGTGACCAGGAACGCCTTCTGGGAGGAGAGAGGCTTTAGACCTGACTGAGGAGGGCACATGGCGGGGTGGGTGATGGCGATGGGCGGGGCATGTTCCAGCGAGCATCAGATCCGAGTCACTGTGTCCTCTCTTAGACGATGCTGCCAGTGGGCTGTGTCCGCATCATCCCTTACAGCAACCAGTATGAGGAGGCCTACCGCTGCAACTTCCTGGGGCTCAGCCCACACGTGCAGATCCCCTCCCACGTGCTGGCCTCAGGTACATCCCTCTCCTCTCTGAGCCAAGGTCCTGAACCTCAGGGCTCAGAAGTGGAACTGCATCTTAGCTGTGGATCTGAGGATACTGCCTGTGGGGGGATACTGCCTGCTCAAAAGCAGGAGGACCAGCTTTCCCAGTGGCTTTAAAATGGGTGAGGGTTGGACAGGACAGCCTCAGAGTGAGGGTGGCTTGCTGGGCGTGGTTCTTGGTGGAGGGCAGGTTACAGTCATGGGAGTGGAAACAACACACACGGATGTCAGAGGTTTGTCATGCTGTTATGCCAACAAGATTCAGGAGGCAACTCTTTTCTTGTCTATGCCTTGAATCTAGCCTTGACATTCACTAGTACAGTGGGGCCTGGCTCTGCCCTCAGCACAGACAGTCTCACTCCTCTGGGCTGAGAGCCAGGAATCTAATCAGCATCCTTGTCTTTGGTTTGAGGAGCTCAGGAGTCCACTTGGATAGAAATCCCAGCCTCCACGGGCAAGCCAGTGGCCTCTCTGAGCACCCTGAGAGATGGCCGGAAGCCCGATCAGCGGGGCATTTGGTGCTCAGCAGTCCTGAGCTGCCATTCCGTTCAGCATCCCAGGCTGGGTCCTGAGTCCCTGAGAGGCAGCACCTTTTTTTTTTTGGAACACAGGCTCTTGTTTTCAAAGATGAGCTTGAAATTCTTAACCACTCCTGGCAGTATGACCTCGAGCCAAACCACTTAGCTTCTTTGAATCTCTTTCCCTGTCATAAAATGGGACTAACATTGGGACCATCGTCACAGGGCTGTTTGGCATTAAGTGAATTCAGATGCATAATTAGTAGTTACTGGAATATAACACATTAACTGAGGCAAGAGGTAACCTTTAACTCTGCTAACAAATACACCACAGAAGGTTTTCAATGGCCAAGCATTAGTCAGGGAGGCGGCTTTCCGCTCTTAGATCCGAGATGACTTAGGAGCGGTGGCGGCGGGAAGCAGGCTCCCTGGGGGCAGAGGCTCGCCTCCCACCGCAGTGCATTTTGTACTGCTGCAGAATTTGCTGTCGTCGTGGAGGCCCATTCAGCCCCTCGCTCCAGCCTCCACCCAGCCAGGTGCGAGGATGACCAGTCCCTCAGCAAGTACGAGTTTGTTGTGACCAGCGGAAGTCCTGTAGCTGCGGACCGAGGTGGGTGCTGCTGAGCCGGCCTCCCTTTCACCACGGTGAGTGGGGAGAAGAACGCTGAGGCTGCCTCTCGCTCGCCCATGCTGACAACCCACCCTTGTTCCCAGTTGGCCCCACCATCCTGAATAAGATGGAAGCAGCTTTGACCAACCAGAATCTGTCTGTGGGTGTGGTGGACCAGTGCCTCGTCTGCCTTAAGGAAGAGTGGATGAAGTAAGCACACCCCGCGTTGGCCCCTGGAGTCTGCTTTCTCACGGGGGTGCTGGGTAGCCAGTAGCGGTTACATTCTGCTGGCAAGAACCAGGAGCTATTTTCAGAAAAAGTTGTGGCCTCCCTGAGAAGTGGGGTAGAATAGAGATTAAGAGCGTGGGTTCAAATAGCATCTTTGCCATTTAGTCTCTTAGCTGGGTGACCTTAAGCAAGGTCGGCACTCCTAGTCCTTACGATGCTCCTCTGTGAGATGGCGGTGACACCTGCCTCCAAGAGAAGCAGTTAATTTTTGCTGCTTAAATAACTTTAAAAATCTGAAAGCCAGGGGCATCTGGGTGGCTCAGCCGGTTAAACATCTTCCTTCAGCTCAGGTCATAATATCAGGGTCCTGGGATTGAGCCCCGAGTCAGGCTCCCTGCTGAGCAGGGACCTGATTCTCCCTCTCCATCATCCCCTCCTCCCCACTCATGCTCCCTCTCTTTCTGTCTCTCTCAAGTAAATAAAATCTTTAAAAAAAAAAAAAAATCTGAAAGCCAGGTAACAGATGTTTCTTTTCCGTTAAAGCTAACTAGTTAGTTATTTTCTTAGTAAGTTTCCCTTAGTAATTTTTTGTCAAATTCAGTTAGACATTGTCCTGATTTCCAATAACACAATGAAGCTAAGGAGCCACAAATTCCTTTAATGAATTTAAAAGAAAATGGGCTTTTCCCCCCATTTTGAGGCAGCGGCCTCACTACGGAGGGTTAGAACTGCTGGGCCGGGGAGAGGTCCTGGAGTGTGCAGCTGAGAGCTGCCACTCTGTGTGCTGGTCATGAAGCTGTTAGGCCTCGGGCCCTGAACCGTGGTGTGATTTTGCTGTGGTATCTGAGCATTGTGTTTTTGGTTTCCTTCAGCAAAGTGAAGGTCCTTTTCAAATTCACCAAGGTGGACAGTCGGCCCAAAGAGGACACGCAAAAGCTCCTGAGTATCCTCGGAGCATCTGAAGAGGACAATGTCAAGCTGCTCAAGTTCTGGATGACGGGCCTGAGCAAAACCTACAAGTCCCACCTCATGTCCACAGTCCGCAGCCCCACAGCCTCAGAGCCTCGTAATTGACGCCACTTGTGGGAACGTGAGCCCGGGCTCGCCTTCACAGAAGTGATGACCATCCCCGCCGCTGAGCTCAAGGATGGCTCTCTGACGGCACTCTCACACCACTTTTGTTTCTGACCTGCCGGCATGGAGTTCTTTCCTCGCAAGCAGTGGAAACCCTCGGGGCTGAACCTTGCCCTCCGTGTGGGATTTGGACCTGGTATAGTTTTCGGCACCATTCCACAAGCTGTTTGAATTGCTCTAGCCCTAGAGAGGGCCGTGGGAGACTTGGGACAGTAGGTCCCCTGTGTTTGAGCACCCTGTGAGAGAAGACTGAGGAGGACATGCACCTTATGTCTCTCAAGGATTTAGACTCAAAATTTATAGGAAAAACATATCAGGTCAGTCCCAACTTGGGTATTTTGGCCACAGTAACAAACCTCTCAAGGTTCATGTTTGAACCTTTCTATTCTGATACTCAAGACTTTTCCAGGTTTTATATATGTTTATATATGTTGTATGTTTTGCTACGGTTGTGAATTTTCAGGACGTGTGCTGATCCTTAGTCATCGTTAGTAATCTGGTTTTGAGCTCTGGGAATGGCTTTTGGGGTGGAGTAGATGTTTCCTCATTTTTGGGCCCTTTGGGATTCATGTTCTGGAACCATGTGACTACAAAGTCTTCTGGCCATGCTCTCCTATGATTGCTTTGACATTTCCCTGTAGCTTGAGGACAGGCCCCTGACCTTTTTTTTACACAAAGATGATACTTTGCTGAAATGTCAGATGGAGCCATTTGACTTGCCTAACTCACTGGATGTGGAGTTGAGAAACCCACCACGGTTTTATTCCATGTCACTTTGCCCTTTATTGCTTCTTTAAACATTTAGATTTGGCTACAGGTAACAATTTTCAGAGTATGGTGATTTAAGATAGTTTCATCATCCCAGCATGCACTTTTAATAAGGATTCATGGCTTGGAGGGATTTTTCCAGCAGATTTGCTGATTTGTTTATAGTTTTTTTGGTGTGTTTGCTTAATTTATATTTAACACGGAAACTAAGTTTATATGACTAGGTGTCTATCATGCAGGAACATTGAAACACAATAAAGATGTATTTTTATAAACTGTTGACTACAAGGTTTTGTTGGTTTGATAACCTAGAATTTCCATGGGATCAGTCACAGAAAAATTATGGCTAAAATAACACCTATGATGGAACTGTTTTGAAACTCTGGGGTCTGTTAAAGGCTTGCAAATTCTAGAAGACTTGGACTGTACATTGTGGTTACTTTTGATCAATTTCAGCTCGGAGCACAGTAGCACTACCCATCCCCTGCCCCCAGCCACACAGCAGGTGTGCAGGTGTTTCTGGATGGGGCTGCATATACCATATGGGAGCTATGGTGGCTGAAAAGGAGCCTAGACTACAGCTATGGGGGAATCTGTGCTCTGATCACTGGTTGTTGCTTCGGATCACAGTGGTGCAAAGAGCCTGGCAGTCACTGTTGCAAGCCCTTACCTCTCTGGCTGCCAGGAGACTTAATGGTCCAGTGCCCTTACCCCTCCTTCAGCTCTGTGTGTGTGTGTGTTTCCTCTTTCAGGAAATTCAGGACAAAAAACAAGGGCATTCAAAAACAAGTGCATATACAGGGGTTATAAGAAACTGTACATGCCCAAGGAAAGGCTCAGAAAAGACCTGAGAAAAATGTAGGATTATACCTCAGTCTGATCCTTGACAAAGAGAAAGCCTACAACCATAAAAATAAAAAAGACAAAAAACGGAACCTTGGGGAAGGGGGAGTATCTGATTTTCAGTTATCACAGTATTAGATTTAAATGTCCAGTGTTAACAGAAAATCACAAGGCAAACAAAGAAAAAGGAAAATATGTCCCATTCAAAGGAAAAAAATATCAACAGAATCTGTCCCTGAAAAAGACTTAATGGTAGATACACTAAACAAAGACTTTAAAACAACTGTCCTAAAGATGCTCACAGAACTAAAGGAAGATGTGAAGAAAGCCAAGAAAATGTAAGAACAAAATGGAAATATAAAGAAACAAAACCTAAAGGAAAAACAATTCCAGAGCTGAAAACTACAACTGAAATGAAGAATTCATGAGAGTGACTCAAAGGCTGATTTGAGCAGGTAGAAGAATCAGTGAACTTGGAGATAAAACAGTGGACATCATTGAGGCCTAACAAAAACTGAAGAGAGTGGACAGAACCTAAGAGAACTATGGGACACCATCAAAAGGATCAACATACACATTGCAGGAGTCCCGGGAGAGAAAGGGGCAGAGAACATTCGAAGAAAGGATGGCTGAAAACTAACCAAATTTGATGAAAGATAGGAACATAAATATACAAGAAGCTCAAAAACTCCCAAGTGGAATGAACTCAGAAAGAGCCACACTGAAAACATTCTAATCAAACTTTCAAAAGATGAAAAGCAAATCTTGAAACAACAAGAGAGAAGCAAATAATCACTCACTGGAGATCTTCAGTAAGAATACATACAGATTTCTCATCAGAAGTGTGGGAGGCCAGAGGACAGCATGCCAACATATGTAAAGTGCTAAAGCAAAAACAAAAACAAAACAAAAAACCAAAAAAAAACCCCAAACCCTGTCAACCAAGAACCCTGTATCCAGCAAAACTGTTCAAAAGTCGGGGGAAATCAAGACATTTACAGATAAAAGAGGGGGCAGTCTGTGACCAGTAGCCCTGCCCTGCAAGAAATGCTCACAGGAGTCCTGCAAGGTGAAATGACACCATCAGCACCTCAAAGCCATGTGGAGAAGTAAAGATCTCAATAAATGTAGATCCTGGGCAATTATAAAAGCTAGAATTATAGCAATTATTTGTAACTACTCTTTGTTCCTACACGATTTAGGAAGCACATTTAAAGAAAAAGCGTAAAAGTTAGTATTATTTTAACTTCAGTTTGTAACTTCAGATCTTGTTTTCAACATAATGTAGGAAACTAATGTACTTAGAAGCATTATTAGTTTATGTTTTGGGGTACACAATGTATAAAGATGTAGATTTGTGACATCAACAGAAGAGTGGGAAAGGAGTTGAGTGTTTGTATGTTATTGAAGTTAATCTGCTATAAATTCAGATTAGAGCACTCTAACTTTAGGATGTTAAATGTAGTCCCCAGGGTAACCACAGAGAAAATAGCTATAGCCTATACACAAATGGAAATTAAAAAGGAATTTGAACATTTCACTACAAAAAATCGACACTGAAAGAAGACAGGAGTGTAGGAAATGAGCAAAAAAGCATGCGGAGAAAATAGCACAGTGACAGAAGTTAGCCCTCCTTGTTAGTAATCAGGGTAAATGGATTAAACCAATCAAAAGAGGTTAGAATAGATAAAAACACATGATCCAATTAAATGCCTTTTATAAGAGACTCATTTGAGATCCAAAAATAATAATAATAACAAAAACACAGTTGAAAGTGAAAGGGTGGAAAAGATATTCGATGCAAATAAACGAGAGCAGGAGTGGTTATACTAATATCAAGTAAAATCAATTTTTTAAAAAAGATTTTATTTCTTTGACAGAGAGCGAGAGAGGGAACACAAGCAGGGAGAGCGGAAGAGGGAGAAGCAGGCTTCCCACTGAGCAGGGAGCCTGATGTGGGACTCGATCCCAGGACCCTGGGATCATGACCTGAGCCGAAGGCAGACGCTTAATGACTGAGCCACCCAGGCACCCCAAGTAAAATCAATTTTGAATTACAAAAGGTTGCAAGAGAAAAAGAAGGATGGTATATATTAATAAAGGGCTCAATATGGCAAGAAGATATGACAGTGATAAACATTTACACACCTAATGACAGACCATCAAAATATATGAAGCAAAAAAAGGAATTGAAGGAAATGAATAGACCTTTCTATAATAATAGATTTCAATACCCTACTCAACAATGAATAGAACCAGACAGAAGATATAGAGGGCCAAACAATAAACCAGCCAGATCCAACAGATACGCACAGAGCACTCTGCCCAACAACAGTGGCACATAATGCTCTTCTCGAGGGCACTTGGGTCATTTGCCAGGATAGGCCATATGTGAGGCCACAAATTAAATCTCACTAGATTTTAAAAGATATACAAAGTATCTTCTCTGACCACAATGGGATGAAGTTAGAAATCAATAACGTAAAAGTGGAAAATTCACAAAATTGTGGAAGTTAAACAGCATGCTTTGCATTTTTTAAAAGATTTATTTATTTTAGAGAGCATGCAAGTGGGGGGAGGTTCAGAGGGAGAGAATCTTCAAGCACACTCCCCACTGAGCATGGAGCCTGATGTGGGGCTTGAACTTACGACCCTGAAATCAAGACCTGAGCTAAGAACAAGACTCAGAAGCTTAACTGACTGAGCCACCCAGGTGCCCCTAAACAGCATGCTTTTAAATAACCAGTGGATCAAAGAAGGAATCACAAGGGAAATTAGAAAATACTTAGAGGTGAATGAAAATGAAGACACAATATACCAAAACATATGATGCAGCAAAAGCAGTACTGGGGAAATTTGTAGATAAAAATGCTTACATTAAAAAAATACCCAAAAAACAAAAAAATCTAAAAACAAAAAAAGTGTGTTTTTTCTTCCCCTTTTCAGTTGAAATAGCAGTATATGTAAAATGCAATTGATGTTCTGACTTTCTAACAAGCTTTTGCAATATGCAGAATACACAGGAAGCATAGTTCTTTCAAAACATTCTTTTTGAACTGTTTGGTAGGTAACAATTTCTGAGGGAGCTGAGGGTTTGTCACCTTGAGTGACATCTGAGTCAGTGCTTTATTCTCTATTCCTGTCCTTTTTTATATGGGCTACTATTTACTCCCTCCTTCTTTTCATTTCCTTTTTGTTGTTGATTTAATTCCTTCATTCAACAATATTTTTGAGTGTCTAAGATATACCACACATTATTCTGGGGACTAGATATACAGCTCCCTGCTGTTTTGAAACTTACCATCTTGTGAGAAAGTTGAACAATAAACAATTTAGATGAGTGAGACTATTCACTATGACTAGAACAAGAGAGAGTAGTGAGAGAGAACAATGCGATATTGAATTGGAGGGTGCAGGAAGGCCTCTCACTTCACAGGGAAGCTGAAACCTGAACAAGAAAGATCAAGCAAGTTGTTTCTTCCTTTTTGGGTCTTTCTTTGTCCCTTCACTCTAGACCATGGATTTAAAAAAAAAAAAAAGGCAGAGATCAATGAAACAGCATAGAAAGACAATAGAGAAAATCAATGAAACCAAAAATTGTTTCTTCAAAAAGATTAACAAAATTGACCAACCTTTAGCTAGATGGACTATAAAGAAGAGAGAAGACTCAAATTACTAAAATCAGAAATGAAAGTGACATTACTACCTATTCTAATAAATAATATATACTATATATCTAAAAAATAATAAAGTGACATTGCTCCCTCTTCTAATAAGTAATATGTATAATATATCTAAAAATAATAATAAAATAAAAAGGATTATAATTATGAACAATCATGTGCCAACAAATTGGATAACCTAGATGAAATGGACAAATTCCTAGAAACACAAACCTACTGAGACAAAATCATGAAGAATAGAAAATCTGAATAGACCTATAACTAGTAAGGAGATTGAATCAGTAATAAAAAAAAACAATCTCCCAAAAAGAAAACTCCTGGAGCTGATGGTTTTACTGGTGACTTCTACCAAACATTGAGAGAACTAATACCACATCTTTTCAAACTTTGCAAAAACTTGAAGAGGAAAGAATACTTCCTAATGCATTCTATGAGCCACCATAACCCTAACACCAAAGCCAGAAAAGACACTACAAGAGAACTACAGATGAATATCCCTTATACACATTGATGCAAAAATCTTCAACAAAATACTAACGAATAGCATATTAAAAGGACTATATACATCATGGCCAAGTAGGCTTTATTCTTGGGATGCAAGGATGGTTCAACATAAGACAATCAGTATAATATGCCATGTCAATAAAATGAAGGGGAAAAACCACATAGTCATCTCAAATGATGCAGAAAAAGCATTTCACAAAATTTAACACTCTTTCATGATAAAAACACTCAACAAAATAGGAATA